ACATCAAGAACATGGTTATCCCTCTTCTAGTTGGTAAGCTGCCCATCTCCTCTTTTTTCCCAGTCTTATCCCATCTCAAACATCTGTGGCAGGAAAGCATTGTAAATACTACACAGGCAACCACACCAGTTGCATTCAACTTGTAAAAACCATAAAATAAAAAAAAAAACTTACCACATAAAATCCCTGAACAGACATGAAATTGCAACAGATTATGAGAAGTGTACAATTTGCAAAGCAAATTTATGCATACCACTGGTATAATCTCCTTGGGCAATGTGCAGATAAACAAACCTCCCCCTCACTATTCCTCAGAACTGCAACCTACAGCCTTCCCAAACACCCAGGTTGTTTTTCCCAAAGGCTGGTTCCCAAAAGGTTGGCTTTCCCAAAGATGGTCCAGTACCCCTAGGGAGCCGATCACCCACGCAGACTCAGGAAATTAAAAATGTTTTTTTTCCTTTTCTTCTTGGATTGTTTTAAGCCTTAAGAAAAGCAGAACTGTCTCAGCATTGAGTACCCCATACAACTCAGCTTCTTCCATTGAGCCTCAAAAGAAAATGGGCCAGCACGGAAAAGAAATTAACAGACAAACACCAGTTAAAGTTAACATGATGTATCATTTTGGACTTTTTTTGTGTGTTCAGGGACATTTCCCGACCACCACTCTTCAAAAACTGTTCTTCCATGAGTGGTTTGAATAGTTTTTCTTGTTCCTTTGAGAAGTAACCCAGTAATGATTTATGAAACTTTCTAACTAGAGGGAACACACATGGGAATCTGATGTGACAGATCAATTAACAAGTGACCCTGCCTTGATCACAGATCCTCCACTTTCCCCAAGCCCCTAATTGGTCTTTCCAAATGACACTCTCAGGAACATTGAAAATGCCAACTTTTATGGTTGGTATTTAAATTAGAGACTTGTCAACCATGACTATGTAACAGAATTGTTGCGTGACTATTCTCCAACTCTAAAATCAGGGATAAAGATTTTCATGCTATCCAATCCCTTTTTGCACATCACAAGTAAACTCTGTTTACTTGAGCTTCATACAGGAATGACTACCTAGAGATTTCAGAAAGCATCCAGTCAGTACCTTAGTTTTCAGATTTTAATATTAATTATAACTGGTTTTGAGACACTGCTGAGATTTGAACCAATGTTCTCTGTTAACCTTGACCAATCAGTTATTCTTCAGTTTTTAAGCTCCACATATTCCATGTGCTTATACAACAGCTAAAAACTAAGAGTTTCAACAGATTAGTTTTTGAAGAAGGCAAGGGCACTGACTGCCTTCACTGAAGTGAGCACTTACTCAACTGGTTAGCACAATGCATACACATGCTCTCGCTGTGGAATCCAGCTTTTATTCAGTTCACTGGTTTACATCTTTAGGTTTTCATGTTCAAAGAGAAATGTGGGACCTGTAGAAACCCCTATGGAACTTGCTCCATTCTTATGTCAGGTATTTGTTATAGTTGGCTTACTGAACTGCAAATTTCCTTTTGGTGAGACTTACTGAACAAGAGACCCTTTGTAGAAGGCGGCAACACTACCCTTTTTATCTGAGCTTACAGAACTTTTAATTTGGGACTTCCAAATTTACAGCACTGTGAGACTTCCTTTTGCGCTCCTTGCAACCTTGGGCCAAATTCTACCTTTACTTATCCCCACGCAGTAACTCACATCTCAAACTGCAGTTTGTAGAACTAATACCTCAGATAGCATTAAACTCTTCATTTTTCAACTACAAGAGCCACAAATGCTCCAATAAGAATGAACAGACTATGAGTTCCATGTACATTTCATACTAATTCCAGTCGCTTTTAAAACTGGAGATTCAACACAGATATGCAGGTTCTGCCAACTCTGCACATAAATAAACTGAACTTGCTGATGGCACAGGAACAGCTCAATGCTGTTCTTCATGCCCAGCACTGTCAGTACAGAAGCAAAGAGGAGTGGCTGCTTCAACAGAGCTGTGTTGCCAAATATCTGTACATGGACTTGCTGCCCAGACTCTCTCTTGGAGCGGCCTGCAGACGTTCAAAGAATCCAGGTGGTGCTGCACTGGCTATCACAACCAAATGTAAAAATCAAACAGCAACAATAATAACAAAAAATTTCACATGTTCATTCAGAGAAAAACAAAACAAAACACTCTTCTTACTTTAACTGTGGCTCTAGCCTGTAAAGTGATTATGTATGAAGGAAGGAATTCAGTGTGACTTTCAGCTTTCATGAATTAGCAGAGGTTTCAAATGAAAAGGAAAAAACAAGGTCTATCAGAGTTACAGTCTGCCCAATCTGAGAGCTGTTGTCACAATAAACACATAACCCATGACGTGTCACCCATGTATATTTTCACTATCAAGCACAACAAAGACAGCAAGTATCCTTTGGCACAAAAGCCCCATGCACAACCTCCCCCTGTGGCATTCTGTTCTGATGCATTATTTGCCCTAGTGCATTCCTAGGAACTACACTCATGAGCAAGCACAACACTGCATTCAGGCACAGAACCATCCTCTCCATAAAGTTTCAATTAGCCTTTCAACTCAATTGCACTGCATAAAAAGAATCTGGGACACTACATACAAGATGTCATGTTTCATAAGAAATTTAATAATATATTTTATTTTTCCTATTGACATTTAGTTTGGTTTTGAATTCAAAACACGAAGCCAAAAAAGTAAAATAAATTATCCTATGAAAGTTAACAAATTATTCCATTGTTTTTAATAGCACTGGGCAAATCCTACTGAATTAGGCATGAATTTGTCACATATGCAATAAAGAACTTAAGGCTAATACATCGTTTCCATTGTAAATCTTATTTTTAGAGGTTACATGTTAACATTTTAAATCAACTCCAGGCTTAGAGTTGGAAATGCAATTATTCCACAAGCTCAAAAAAACACGGAAAGATGACTGACAACTTGAACTCCTTTTCTGACAACTGCTAGTTAAATAAGATTCTTTATGAAATACTTGACTAACCTGATTGCTCTGTCTGATCAGCTGTTGCTACCTAAGGTACATTTGCACAAACTGCTCTCAACCTGCATGCATCAAAACTGATGCCCGGGGGTTTGGGAAGCAATTCCACGATGTGAGGGGTTACCCACATTTACCTTTCTCATCACCAGTACCGTGGCTCCTGGGGAACCGTCAGTATACAGGTTACCCCAAGGTAAACAGAAGACAATCTTCCCATAGCTGTATCCCTATTTCCCCCTGCCACTACATGCCATATAAACGACGTAAAACGGAGCGTTACCATCCCTAAGCATTGTCCATCCGTAGCTTGTGGATCCCCAGGCGGTTCTGTGTGCCGCTTCACGGAGACTTGCGGAGGGTGCACTTTCAGGACCCGCAGCACCC